TTTTCTCTCACTTTTTTCCACTCTCTCCTAATGGACCTTCCATCGTTTTCCGGCGGCCCAACTTCCACAATAGCGCCGCCGTCGGAAAAATTCCGATGAAGACCTAGAACATTCAAGTGATGTATAAAAGTTGAGATTTTACTCCGTCATAACTTTGCTGCTATTTTCAACCAAATTGTCACGACTAAAAAGTGAAGAATTGTGAATCATCTTATACGAACTCAAGAGCTGATAAGATATAAAGCAAGATCCAACGCTGAGCAAATAAAATAAAGTTTTAGAAAAATTTAATCAACTTAGTAATGTTTCACAAAAGGGGTTGCTCTGATGGTAAGTAACCTCCATTTCCAACCAAGAGGTTGTGAGTTCGAGTCTCCCAAGAGTAAGGTGGGAAGTTCTTGGAGGGAAGAATGTCGGGGTCTATTTGGAAACAATCTCTCTACCCAAGGTAGGGGTAAGGTCTGCGTACACACTACCCTCTCCAGACCCCACTAAGTGAGATTATATTGGATTGTTGTTTTTGTTTTTTCACAAAAATAATTCAAAAAGGTGAAATCTTTTAGGAGCAATTTTCACAGATGTAGTGAAGCAGAAGCATGAGGAAGGAGGATTTGTGGATTTATCTTCGCCGCCAACACCAGCTGTTTTAGTGCCGGCGACGGTTGTTTCCGGCGTGCAACAGCAACAGCTACAGTAGTCTCCGCAGTTGCAACTAAAGTTGCCCCGCATTAAACCCGCAACCCGCACCGGCCCGCTTAAAAAATTTTAAAAATTGTTTTAACCTGCCCCGCCCTACCTCGCACCGCATCAAACAAAACTGGCCCCGCACCCGCCCCGTCCCATTGCCGCCCAACGCTCCATGTCATGTCAATATATGTATCTACTAATCTTTCACTAATATCAAGCGTTTGATATGTCATATCATTAATAAAGGTGTCTCCAAAAAACTAATACCAAAAGGGTTCTTTTCTTTTTCACACTCCACCCAGCCCAAGAGATCAATAATGTTCTAGCATTTACCTTTTACCTAATTTGAGTATTCAATTTGATTAGGAAAAAAAAGAGAAAAAAAAAACCGCCACAGGTATTGATGCATAGGTAGGGAAATATTGAGCTTTGGCAATAGATAGATGTATGTAGTATTGATTGCAGATATCTTCCCACTGATTCAGAGAATAAGATTAGTGTTATTAAAGAGTGGTTAGTTAATGATTAAATAAATCAGTGTCGCTCGATTATATTCTGCAATCTCTTGTTTGTTTGGTTAAAGATATAATAGGGCAGGTTCTACGGGTTTAAGTGAATCAATTACTTCCAATACGAACTATACATACATATGCAAAAAAAAAAAACATATAATAAGATCACACGAACATAATCACCATCTAAAATGCTCAACTACAAAGGTCTACACAATCGAAAATATTTTAGGTGAGAGGATTCAATTAAATTAAGGGAAACGGAAAAGGGCCGAAAATGTCCTTTTACTATGTGAAATAAGACAGGCTAGACCTCTCTTAAAAGTTGGCTTCTATTTTGCGGGAGAAATTCAAAAATAGCCAGATTTATAAGTGATGATTCAAAAATAGCCACAGTTTCAAAGGTAATCGAAATTTAGCCACTTTTCATGTAAAGATAAATCTGAACGAAAACACTGTTCAAAATTCGAAAAAATACTCTAGCATAATATACTAGAGTTATACTGGAACTCCAATCTAATATACTGGAGTTCCAGTATAATATACTGATCCAGCATAATATGTTGGAGTTTGGAGCACCGGTGCTCCAGTCTCCAGTATATTACACTGGAGCCAGCAAAGTATATCGATCCAGCATAATATGATGGAAGTTCATACACAGGTGCACCGACCTCCAGTATATTATGCTGAACCGGTCTCTATTGCAGCAAAATAGTGGTTATTTTTCAATGACTTGGCAAATGCTGACTATTTTTGAATGACCAGTCCGAAAACTGGCTAGACCGTGCTATTTTAACCTATTCTACCCTTGCCGTTAATAAATGGGCTCATATATGTCCCCCATCTAACATTTTGCATTTTAAAATTCTAAAATCGTATATCCCCTAATTAAAAAAGCCACCTGGATTTAAAAAATAACCCCACCCCTCATTTTTTCCATACAGCACACCTGCCACGCCCAATCTTGCTAGATAACAACACTAGAAAGAAAGAAAGTAAAGTTCGTCGGCCATTCAAAACACATGGATTTTAACTGACGAACAAGATTTGAACATGGGTTTTCTTGAAATTATCTGGACCATTCAAAGCACCGGCCATAGGACAATGACTGAAACGAACGGAGGCGCCGGAAATTATCCGACCAACTAAAATCACCAAAAATCCAAAAACCGATTAGATTCAAAGAAAGACATGCACCCGAATTTATAGCCACAGTTAACGTCCGGAGACGGCATTGGTACCACGGCGAAAAATACCGGAACAACACTAAAATATTACACAAAAAAGGTCGAGAAACCCACACAGAACTATAAACTAAAATGGGTCATAAAGCAAAGCAATAATGAATAGCAAAGCCAAAAACAGTGATGGCATCAAGAGACAGGAAAAGATCTGAAAATGGTTAGCCTGAGATACTATTCTAACGACGATGAGCGCCGGAATAACATTGCTAAAGAAGCAAGGCAAACGGCCACCAAAAATTTTTCCAGCAAGATTCCGGCAAAAGTCCCAACCTTTTCTTCTTTGTCTTCTATTAGATCTAGCAAGCAGAAGTAGATAAAATACAAGAGAAGTTAAAGAAAGCTAAAGTTCGCCGGAGAGATGTTTCCGGCCAAATTTGAGGTCGTCGATTCACTGTCGATCAACAGTGTTTTTATCCACAAGAACGAGTAAGAAGCGAAAGATAGGGGAGTAGCCATGATTGGTCGACTAGACCCACCAGTGATCAAATCCAGCGGTTGGCCGGCACGGAGGGCTGGTAGGCATCTCTCAAAGAGAGAGAGAGAGAAAGAGAGATATAGAGCTCCTGTTTGGGGGGTGGGGTAGGGGCCCGGTATGGAAAAAAGGAAGGGTGGGGGTATTTTTTAAATCCATGTGGCTTTTTTTTAATTAGGAAGTATATGGTTTTGGATTTTAAAATGCAAAATGTTATTCCACGTGGATTTATGAATATTTCGTTAGTGATGGAGGACATATATGAGCCCATTTATTAACGGCAAGGGTAGAATAGAGGCCAACTTTTAACGAAGGGCTAGCCTGTCCTATTTCACGTATCAAAGGGGCATTTTAGGATCCTGACTGTGATTAGTTAACTAAGGCATTTGTTAAGTGTTGAAATTGAAGTAGCAATGCCTATGTGTTTAAAATTGGAAATACTCAAAACACTTAGAGCTTGTTTGGAAAGCCATCTTGGAAATAGATTTGGATGTAATTGGGTGTAATTACACAGTTTGACATGTGTTTTTGGCCAAGTAATTACTTGGTCAGCATGAATTGGATGTAATTGGAGGGGTGTAATTACACTCTCTAATTCTCAAGGGGAGGTGAGAATTGGTGGTAATTACACTGTGTAATTACAAGGTTTCTTTTTAGTTTCTTTCCTTTTTGTTTTTATTTTAATTTATTTTCTTTATAACTTTTTATTTCTATTATTTTAAGTTTTCAATTTTATTTTTACTTTTTTTTAATTTCTTTTGAAATTATAAAATATATTTTTCTTGGTACATTAATTATCTTTTATTTCTCTATCTTTACTTCTAGTGATTCCATGTAATTGCTTACTATATTTTACTTTTTATTTATTTTATTATTCTATTTTTTTAAATTACACCTCCTAATATTAGAAATAACGAGTCATAAACAAACTTGGCATATAATGAGTGATGCAATTAAAGCGAATTTTCATTGTTGAATGTGGTTATAAACTTATCATGTTTCCTAATTATTAAGTTGCACTGAAACTTACTATTATTATGTTGAAATTTGACATATGTTAAACTATTTTATTTATTTATTTTGAATTTTGAAATTGTGTTATATTCATGATTCAAATTTACTTGTTTTAGTAGTATTGGCTCACATTGCATGGTGTTCATTTTTTAGTTAGAATAAATTAGTTTTGTCAAACATTTGAATAATGTTATGACATTATATTTTGTAAATATTAATTTATTTTATCAAAAATTAATTCCATGATGTTCTTACAAAACGTATATTTTTTATTTTTGTAAGTATCTAAACTAAATATTATTAATTTAAAAAATATATAAAAATTATTTTTACAATTTTAGTTATAAATACATGATTACTAAATTAATGTATAGGCATATATTTATTATATACATCTTAAATACAAAATATAATATCATTTATACTGATAAAAATTTGTAGGCATATATTTATTATATTAACTTTTAAGTTTTGATAATTACTTAATTTAAAATTTAATCTAACTGTATAATTATACTTATGCAACCAAACAGTAAATTTGTAATTACATTGTAATTATACTATGACAAACAAACAAATCGTCTAGGCTGCAATTCCAATTACAGGATGGCTTTCCAAAAAGACTCTTTAGCAAATTCAGATGGACATAGTAATAACCTTGCAGTCAGGTGCGCACTCTAAACATTCCTGCACTATATACTAATCATCATCTAGCACCCTGAGTAGGAAACATAGTTGGGATAATTTAAAGCAGAATTGTGCTCTTAGAAGTCCAACATCGTGACATAAGCCCTATGCTTGCATTTTGCACCAATAGATGTTCTGAAGCAATCACACTTCTTAGTCCAAAAGAACTGAAGATGTAAAAAATAATCAACAGATTACAGATAGTAGCATAGCTCCATGGCCCAACATCGATACAACCTCAAGCCTAAAGAAGTTGGTATTTCCCAACTCTGTTATCCAGGGGGCGCAGGAAAAACGTAAAAGAAATATGGGCCACGGTGTTGACCAGCTTTAAAGCCAATCCAAACACCTTCACATGCATCTTTAGCAAAGAGGTTTACACACTTCTATGGGAAAATAATCTGCTGCATTGATATTCTCGTGTAAGACATTCATCTCTACAATGTATACACACTACTTTAGCAACCAGTAGTCTCAACAGGCATGTTACATTTACAGAAAAAGATTAGCAACAATTGGACTAAATTCTACACATATCACAGTTGTAAAGTCTCAATCTACACATATCACAGTTGTAAAGTCTCATTAAACACATATCATAGTTGTGAATGCTCTTGTCAATGTGACTCTTAGAATATTGGCTCAGATAGGAACATTAGTACGATAAAAGTGCAGCAACTTGAGTGGTGAAACGTATTCCTGCGAAACAGCAAAAAGAAAAGCATATTAAGACCCCTAATGACAGTCTGTTCCTAGTGTATAGACACATCAGGTCTGATATTCCAACCTGGGAAAGATCATCATGCTCAGGGGGCAAATGGAAGCCCGTTGAGCAGTTGGGCAACACCTCAGGATTCTTCATCCATGCTTTACGTGCATCACTGAGTTTAATTTTGTACCTGAACATCTGAAAATCAAAGTTGATAATGTTATCGATTGGAATTAGAAGAGAAGGTAACTTTATTTTAAAAGGTGACAGTTGGAAGTGTGTGTCAAAAAGTTGTCTGATTTAAGAGACATCTTTTAGCAGATTCCTAAAAGTGTTATAAATACCTGATTTCTTCCCAAAAGATTCTATAACAGTAAAACTCAAAACTTGTTCCTGGGGAAATTCAAGTTATTGCTGAACTTGGATTCCGATTTTGTCTATGTAAATCCTAGAGGAATTCTGCCACAAACTCATGCAACAACATAGTGGGGGCTTATGTTACTTAAGGATAGAGATTACTCCATTAAAGCCATTGAATTTATTGTTTCCTACAAGTCTATTTTAACCAACAGAAGAAATAAGCTATCAAGTACTCCCTCCGTTTCATATTAAATGAGGTACTTTTCCTTTTAGTCTGTTCCAAAACAAATGACACATTTCTAAATTTGGAAATAATTCAACTTTAAACTCTTTTATTTTACACATTTACCCTTAATGAGAAGCTTTTATAGTCACACAAATGTCATGACCCCACAAACTTTTTACCCCTTAGGCTTTCAAGACCACAAGTTTCAAAAGTCTTTTCTTTTTTCTTAAACTACGTGCCGAGTCAAACTACCTCATATAATATGAAACGGAGGGAGTAATAACTCCCAAATGAGTATATTATGCAACATGCACCATTTGATGGTGCAAGTCTAAATGAACCTCCCCACCACATTTGCTGGTTTGATGAGCCAGAAACAAATATAACTTTTGGTATATGGGCATTCTGAGATATTATTAGAGATTACTAGTCTATCCGAGGATTACTACCCAGAAACAAATATAACTTTTTCCAAACTGCATTATGCATACAGAAACAGGGAGTACACTTCGTTCGTAAATCGAAGAGATAGGACACTGAAGAAACAGATAATACAAATGAATTAAATAGCATTAGCATGGTGACCAACAGCTATCCTAGCAGATGAAACGAACCACATTAATTCTTGCTTCCTTTTTCTTTTTCTTCTTTTTTTTCCATGTGTGGGTGTCCCCACCTGTGGGATTATCCTGGGTATGTTGTTGTTGTTGTTGTTTTCCGTGTGTGGGTGTGTGGGTGTGGGGGGGNGTCGACAGGTTTTCCATAAGTTTCCAATTCACATAGAAGTATCCAGTGAATCAGGCAGGATACATGGAACACATGAAACGCCTATATTGACACAGAAATAGTAAGTGCATGGAGTGTAGTATTCAGATAATGGATCTTCAATAAGGTTTCAAAAGTGGAGAAAAATGTCTAGAACACAATGCATGAGTACATAAATAAAGATCAGATGGAACAACAACAAAACACCACAATGCATGAGTACATAAACAGATATCAGATGGGAAAAACAACAAAACAGAGCAGCGTTTACCCCTGTCAAATTTCTACTGCTGCAAACAAGTCTTCCAGATTTCCTGTTCAGTAGAGCTGCCACGTCTTTACCAGGAAGCATTTTCTGTTGGCAGATATCACACATTCTCTCAGAAGCTACTCGCTGCTGTTTCCTCAACTCTTTCCTCATAGTTTTGCTGGATATAATTCTTGAACCCACTAGTTGATCATCACGTGTTCCCAATATCAGTCTCATATTTGAGCTATTTGTTGATTGAGATTCTTCCCCAGAAGAATCACACTGATTACTTAAAGACTCACTGATATCCTCCGGGTCCGAAAATGACTTCCTCCTCCTCTTGTTTCCAGCACCAATGGTTATGGTCTCCTCAGATTCCGAATAAGGACTGGAGGGGAGCAAAAATCTGTCATCAAGTAACGCCTTCCTACCCAAATTATAGTTATAAGGAAATGTAACAACCGCAAAGTCATGATCTGGCACCACAGAGACATCGATATCATCAGAATCAATCTTTCCCAACCATTCACACCATATTTTAAGAATGCTTTTAGAGTCAATGTCATGCACAGTAAGCCGCACAGCAATTTGTCCAATACCAATAAGATTCACTTCTAGATCAGATAATTCATCTTTACACAACACACCCGGAATAACCAAGTTATCACTCTGTCCATTACCAGTCAACTCACAGTACTCATCCTCGAGATCAGGTACATCCCCATTAGGTCTCGAATTTCCACCATACTCAACAATAGCAAGGCTACTTTCATCTACAAGACACGTGCCAACCAGCCTGCTTTGACCAACATCCGCGATAGGCAAGTGCTGCTTATCATGCTCCAAATCCTTAAAGAAAAGCACACCATCATTGAACGGCCATGGATTCGGCTTCAACAATGTGGCTTTAGCAGCTGCGACCATTTCAGTATGAAGACTACCTTTCAAATGATTAAACAGAACAGAATCACTATAACACGGCGAATGACATAGCGTGCAGAAAAAGACTAATCTCTTCCCATCTTCTCTAAGCTCAATATACGTATGTCCTTGAGACCTCACATTATTCAAAGTTCTCCTCACTAATTGCTCTTTCAAGTTACAACCACTCGTCTTGGGGAAACCTAGTTGTCTACCCGCCATAAGATTCAAATATCACATATACCAAACAAACAGCTAAATTTTCCGAACTTTCACATGAAATACAACAATAGAAACACAAATTTGAGAGAATTATCAAGCAGGAAATTCAAAATTCGGTAATTCCGAACCAACAATTGCCACAATGTTCCGAACTTAGCAACTTCGCGAGCACGAAATTCACAATACCGTGGTAAAATTCCCCATCAATTCTTCAAAATTCAGCTTCAGGAAGTAAAAACAAGACAAGTAAAAAGTAAATTTGACCAAACCTAACAGAAGATTTAACAAACCCTAAATTTACAACTTCGAGGCGTGCAAGGTATTATAGGTATCTTCGTAAATTGCCGAACTATTCGATTTTTAGCACCGGCGGATCTTCCAGAAGAAACCTCAAAAAGCGACGAAATCGAACACGAATCCTCCATTGTCATTTGCATCTCCATTAAAAAGCTTCGTAACAGAAAATTAAACGAAAACAAAAAGAAAAACAAAGAACCAACAGAATAGAGACTAATAACTAGAAATCAGGGTTCAAGAAGAAGAAGAAACAGAGATTGCATAGGTGAATATACAGACCAGTACAGGATATTTATGTATGTATAGGTAGAGAGAGAAAATTGGAAGGAGGGAAGGTTCTAGAGAGAGAAAGAGAGAGGAGAGAATTGAAAGTTGAAACAGACTGTTTTAACTAAATTTTGGTGAATATCTGTATTATTATCGTAAGAAGGCCATTAAGATAATGAAGGGCTTAAATCGCATGCAACTATGGTGCATAGTTACAGTATATTACAGCTATTATAACCGTGGGATTGTTGAAACAATATGTGATTGATGACTATGACGGTCAGGATTTTGAGGAGTAGATATAGTATTTAATGTAATGTGTAGTTGGTTTCGGTAGCGGAAGGAAGATTCTTGGGATAAGCCGATAAGCATGGGAAATAATTCAAAAGCTTTTCTTTTCCTTTTTTCTTCTTTTCTTCCAATTTCAATTTTGGTCCCTCATTTTTGAAAAGTTCTGATTTTGGTCCTTTTAATATTTGGCCAAGCATTTTAAACTTTTAATTAATGAATATGTGTTTTAGACTAGCAAAGGATGCGGTACAGCAGAGAGGGTTGCTCTTCCCTTAACACGAATGCGGATGTAGTCGAGCTACAATGCGGATATTGGACACCGGTTGAAAAAACAAAAAAAAATAAAAATGTGTTTTAGGTGGTCAAATAGTTCTGTGAGTCATTATAAACTTGTTTTTAAATTTATGACCCCAACTCTTTTTTTAACAAATGAGATATTTACTTTTGAACATAAAAGATCTATTTTTTACACATAAGATATCTAAGGACCCGTTTGGCCATAGATTTTGCAAAAATAAATTTGGGTTTTATGTGGCAAACACATGTTTGGCCATAGATTTTACCTACATTTTGGCAAAATCTTGAAACCCAAATTCCAAAACTAGCTCAATAGCAAGTTTTGGGCCAAAATATCACTATCATATTTTTTAAAAATTGCCCCAAACTTTTATATTTTATAAAAGACCCCACCATTTATTATTTTGTAATATCATTTGATAGTGTATCAAGTAGTTCATTATAAAAATGATAATTTTGTACTAAATTTATTTATGTTCAGTGTAAGCACGTGATTTTTGCCCTATATGAGAATTACTCCCAAAAAATTCAAAAATAAAATGATTTTTCTTTGGTGTGCAATTTTGTGATATTTTGTGTAATTATTTTTATTTGTCTGTGCATGTTTATTTGCTAAATTAATAAAAAATACAAAATTATGTCGCATTTTGCATGAAGGATTTAATTCTACAATTGTTAGTAATTAAATTTGTTTTACAAAAATTAAAAATTACAAAAATAGGCATCGTTTGCATTTTTAGCATTTAATGTCCAAATATACAATTTTATGCTTAATTATTACTTAATTGTGCGTTAATTGTTATTGGGAGTTAATTTGCGCTTTTATAACTTAATTTAGTTCTTAATAATAGTTTAAGTATTTTTATAATTTAGTTTTAGAAAAATAAAAGAAGAAAAGAGAGCGAAAATATAAAGAAAGTCGGAATTGGGCCTCTTCTTCAATTTCAAGCTACAGGCCCAAAAAATGGCCCAATCTTCCCTACGACCCAGTCCATTTCGAACTGGGTTGACCCAGTCCATAACCCAAAAGACCCAAACCCCTTTGTCTACATTTTACAAAACAAAAAGAAGACAAAAACCCTAAAAAATTTCTAAACAATCCGCCACCCCCCCCTACCTTCCCTATCTTCTTCTTCTCCAAGTTTCTCCAAAGCTCATCCATGGCTTCCCCCTCAAGCTCCCATGGCTGCCTCGTCCTCATCTTCTTCATCGCACCATGAACGAGCGGTCTCATGGCTGCTTCTTCTTCTTTTAAACACCAACAACTCCACCATCGCACCATGAACGACCCCAAGCTTTCTTCTCGCACCATGAACGACCCCAAGCTCAAGCTCGTTCATGGCTGCTTCCTCGCAGTCCCTTTCATCCTCTTCGTCGAACAACCAGCCTCGT